TCAGCGTCGGCATCACGGTAGGGAGATGGGGAAGTCCACTCTAGAAACGCACGCGTGTGAATGTTGCACACTTGCATGTGGTGGAACGTTCTGGGAACGTTTTTCAAGTGAGCTCACGGTCCAATCGCACCCCTGGTATTAATCTCGGATTAGGGCTTTTGAATAAGTGGTCGCCGAAAGGAGAGTGGAATGTCACAATGAACTCACGACTTGCTGAATTGGCTTGTGCCATCTGATGGGCATGTAACCAACTTGCTATTTTATGAACTGTACAAAATGCATTATTTTATTTTTTTGAAAAAAATCTCTTACTGGTATGATATTTTATGATTTTTCAAGATTGCGCCTCCCTTCCTTCAAAAACAATTTGCGTGATTTTGCGTACCTGTCCAACGACCAATATCCACCGGCTCCATAGTAATTTTATCAGCCAGAGAGCAATCGTGCACATTCTTACAGGATGCACTGATTCCTGCTTAACTATGGCAAAAATTACCCCCAGGATTTTAGTGTGGCAGTCTCCAGCACACCAGCAACACTGATGCAGATATCGACGCCCTCGTCGACGCCTCTGCTCTGCTCCCGCAGGCTCACGATGCCCAGGCCAGGTGGCCAGGTGGGCGTAACCGGCGCCTTCGCGCGGGTCTCTAATCCTACAGATCGAAGGGGATGTGTGGACGAGTGGTCGGTTCCGGCTTAGAGTATGAGTATGAAATGCCCCCTCCCCCCGTCCGCACCTTCTCCGTCTCCGTACCGCCCTGCTGTCACCAGGGCCACGTCACCACCACCGACAACAAGATAGGAGGACCTGCAGTGCCGAGCCGGGCCCGCCAGCACATATCAGGGGCGTCGTTACCAGCCCTCCCCACTCGCCGAGCAGCAGCGCCAGCGTGCAGAACATCGAGCCCTCCATCGACTCCGTCTCCTCGGTGAGTCGTGACTGCTCCAGCACCAGCCCGGGGGCAAAGCTCTGCGCCGCCCGCTGCCGTTGACCCTCCTGAACTGTCTCGTCCTGGGTCCCGTTCCACCCAAAGGGTTCCAAAGCCCGTATGCTACGCCTTTACTAACGGGGCCCAACGGAACTACTCGCGGCCAACTCGCTTACCTGAACCTAAAGCGCGGACCTTTCAAAACTCAGGAGACGAGTTAGAGAACCCTCCTTCCTGTATCACCAAAGTTTTGTAACAAGCTGCCCCCAACCTCCATGTGGGGCCACAAAGGATTGCGCTGAATTTCACCGTAAGCTGCAGTGAACTCTCCAACTGTAGTGCTTTACGGTGAATATTACTGTAAGTTACAGCGATGCACAATGTTAATTCATTTCGAAGGATTTGTTCGTATCGAGAGGGATTTGGGTACTTTGTAAGCCAACGAATGAGTTCCTTCGCAATTACAAAGCAGAGATGTAGTCTTCCGCAAGGTATCTACAGTGTACCCTGATCCACTGTAGGGCTTACGTTACAGTGACATCCAGCGTAGCCAACGATGAAAATTCACCGAAAATCTCGGTGCTGCAGAGTTCACTTTGAAGTTCATGACATGAGTTACTAGATAAATTTCAAGGGTGTTATTGTCCTTTAGTGTTTTCCGTCGGGTGACAGGTTAGTGACAGGCGAAGACGGCTATCAACCGCCCACCGCGCCGCCCCGCCCCGCCACACCTGTAGGCTCCGCCCGCCCAACCCGCGATAACGATATTAGCCCTTTTTTCTCGCCCAAACAGACATATAGCTTACTGATAAGGAACAGAGTGGAAAATACGATCACATAGAACCGATAGAGACGTTTCTTCCTAGGGCCGACGTTTGATTCTCCCCCCCCTCCCCCCATTCTTCCCCAGGGGCTTATTAAGGTAAGTGTGTATCGAAAGTTGCCTGCATACAGGGGTTTTGCATGGCAAATTGCCTACCTTCGGGCTGATATGTAGTTGACCACAGGGGGCGATCCCCCCCCCCCCTCAATACGCGACTGTTCTCCCCTTGGAAGGAATATGTTTGTGACTGTGACTCTTCGATTGATTTCAGGTATTTTTTTCCGTCAGAACAGTCACTCGAAAGACATCACCATGCAGTACCTTCCCAGCACCTTCTTCGGGGTGCCCTTCATCCACCCCTTCAAGAGGAACCTTCAGGCCGGTAGCATGGTCGCCATCTACGGCGTCGTCCTCCCCGGTGCTGACAGGTAACAACGTCATTCTCCAACCGGAAGTGAGACAAACAAAATGACGTATTTTCAGAGACTAAATCAGGGGACTTTCTATTTCTAAAGATATGGCGTGGCCTGAAAAATGACGTTTCTCTTAACTCATCCTGTTTCGTAGGTTCGTGCTGAACCTCCAGACGGGCCCGAACGACGGCGACGACATCGCCCTGCACCTGTCGTTCCGCTTCCCCGAGGGGCTGGTGGTCCTCAACACCCTCCAGGGCGGCGGCTGGCAGCACGAGCAGCGCCACCACTCGCTGCCCGTCGCGCACGGACAGCACTTCCAGATGCTCGTGTACGTCCAGCACGACAGCTTCAAGGTTAGTGGGCTTCCCTGCCTGTGATGCAAATTGCCTATAATCGTGTATCGTGTTATTGTTGTTCTCGTTTCTTGTTTATGTTTTTGAGTGTTCCAAAATGTAATGCGCGTTTCCCGGTTATCGCAGATTGCCTTCAACGGACAGCACTTTGCCGACTTCCACCACCGCATGCCCCTGGAGATGATCTCTCACGTGGGCGCGGAGGGCGAGGTTCACGTCAACAACGTGACCGGCGTCCGCCTCCCCTACGAGCCCGACAACGTAGTCAACAGCCCGGTGAGTGCCCCTAACCAACCCAAGGACCCTTACAAAAATACACTGGAAAAACAAGTGTGAGAATGTTGCACACTTGTAGGTGTGTGAATAATACCCATTCATAGAAAATGCACACACTTGTGCCTCCATGTGTACGATTGGCATTCCCACTCGTACAAGTGTTGGAGTTGGGTTCACGGTTGTAGTCTCGTGACGCCCCCGCCTTTCTTGCAGCCGATCCCGCTCGTGATGAACTCCGGCCCCATCTTCCCCGGCCGCCTGATCCGCATCCGCGGCACGGTGCCGCACGACGCCTACCGCTTCACCATCAACCTGATGGACGGGCCCGACCACGAGCACAACGACATCCCCTTCCACGCCTCCGTGCGGCCCAACTCGAGCGAGTTCCTGGTGGAGCTCAACAGCCAGCGCAACGGCGGCTGGCAGAACGGCCACCAGATCAGGCCGTGCCCGATCCGCCCGGGCCAGGCCTTCGAGATGCTGGTGCTGGTCGACATGGACAACTACAAGGTGGGCGAAAACTGGGTGGCTCAGAGCGGAGGTCCAGCTCGACACTCACAACGTACCACGTACCTATATCCCTTCTTTTTTAAACTTTTCCGCAGATTGCCTTCAACGGCCAGCACTTTGCCGAGTTTGCCCACCGCTTCCCCATCGAGTCAGTAAACTATTTCCGCATCGACGGCTCTGTGAACATCAGCAAGGTGAGCTTCGAGGGCCACCGCCGCGACAGCGCCTTCGACTTCATCCCCGTGCCTCCGCCCGCCAACGACTACTTCCACCCGCACGCGTACGAGGCCGTCGGCAACCACTTCGTGTTCGCCAACCCCTACCCCACCTTCTAGCCCAACTAAGAAGCGCATGGCCACGGTCAAAAGAAGTAGAATCGGGATTTTTAAAGAATGCCAGTGCTACTCTTCCTACCGCTGTATACCTAACGTAAAGGCGTAGCGTGCCACAAGACTGATCGCCTCCCATTTGTACTGTAAAGTGTCCAAAGCTATGAGATTTTTTTTTTTAATTTATGGTACAAGCGAGAAGAGAAATAAGCGTGAATTTTGACTCGCCCTTGCCAAAAATGTCATGTGTCCGTTTTTGTAAAAGATTTTTTTAAACAAATAAACTGTTTTGTTACCCTAACTTGGCGAAAATTCATCCCTACTCCTATCCTAAAAATCATCCCGAGTTTAGCTTAACTTGAAATCAGAGGTATCAGGGGTATCGCCCATAGAGTAGAGTATAATGGAAGGCAGCTCGGCCGCAAGGAAAACGTGGTTCTCACGAAGACCTCATTGTGACCTCAGAGGTCACAATGAGGTCTTCGCGAGAAAAACGTTTTCCTTGGGGCGCCTGCGAGACTCGGGATAGGCTACCGCCTCGGCACGCGTGCACTACAGGAGAGATTTTGCCTACTTACGAGGCGCTTGCAGAGGCTGAGGGCTGAGCTTTGCAGTTTGCAGGTTCTCGGAACGGCGAATAACTGTCTGGGTGATCCTCCAGGTAAAACACAGTCTGAGCATCGGTTACTGCATGCAGTTCTGCAGAGCTAAAATCACCCCAGAAGCGCCAATACTACTGTAAAGTGCCACGCAGTCAATTGGCAGAAAATGGGCACTAGAGAGCGCATTTAATGGTGATGACGAGCGTAAATGGCCATTAAATTTGCTCGTGTGCCTTAAAATCTCAAATAATGTTTTGCCCTCAGTGCGCATTAATACGCGAAAGAAAGCGCACCAGATGGCCTCCCCACTAAATTACACTGGAAACGCAAGTGTGTGAATGTCGCTCACTTGTAGGTGTGTGAATATCCTTTCGCACACTTGGAATGAATTTTCTAGGGAAAATTCACACTTTCACCCCTCCAAGTGTGCGAATGGATATTCACACACATACAAGTGAGCGACATTCACACACTTGCGTTTCCAGTGTAG